GAGTGTCAGGAGAGCTGCGACAAACACCTGCGAATGGGATAAAGGATTCATGGTGTATATTAATCTCACGATGAAAGGTTGCTATGTAGACGTAAATGTAAATTTACGTCTCATTATGTAAACGTGTTAGGTGCGAACGTAATATATTTTATTCATCATGCACCCTAAGTCCTAGCTCCACCCTGCACTCCTTGTCCTAGACTATCATAGTATGTATATATATTTGAATGTGGGGCTAAGTGTTCTATTATATTATATTCAATTTTGTATACATCATTCACTCCTCCTCATATATTTGGAGAATGTCACTAATATTATTTCCCTTGTACATTACTTACATTAAGCCCTTGGTTATTAACTAACATATTTGGGCTTTTCATGCCTTAAGTGATCCCTACATACCCAATCTAAAACAGTTATCAAAATTACATATTTTTGTTCCCCCCCATTAATGAGGGCAGGAAGTTTATTATGCTTATCGAGGACCCCCCCCCCCCCCCCAAGATCAACTACTGACCTTCCTCCAGGGTGCAACCCACAACAGTTGCCTGACTCCATGATATCTGTATTTGCTGCTTGTTGAACAAAGACATCATGTGAAAGGAAACGTTGCCCAAGCGTCTCTGTCCTGTCGGGAATCGACCCCGGCACTTCCTGTTGTGAGCCAACTGTGATACTTTCCATATAAAGTGTCATCCACATTTCCGTGGACATAAATATTCCATTCACCTGGGCTCTAGGAGACTCGAACCCTGGACCCCAAGCGTGTGAGGGGATAAATAAGGGCCGAAGCTGTTTTATTTAACTGTGATACACATTGTGATGCTTGTCCACACTTGCACACTATCTGGCCTGACTGAAGACTGGCCAGATAGTCTGGCCAGAAGGGGGGGGGGGGGTTGTACCGAGCTCATGTCTTTGTTCATTATTTCTCTTGCATTTACAAATCCTTCCCTTTGTCCTATCCTAAATCCTTATCCTCTTATCCCTTCCAAGTGATATATAGTCGTAATGGCTTAATGTTTTCTCTTGATAGTTTGTGTCATATTTTTGCTAATTTTCAATTTGTCTAAATAATCCCTGAATGGGATTAGTAATTAGTAACGGTAAGGACTTGTAACGGTTCTATCGTTACGTAAAGTATGGTGACAAATAAACACAGACACTAAGATACTATATATATATTTGGTCGAATATACAGAAGTACACAGGTGATACTTTGGTGTGAGTTGAGCGCACTGAGCGTCGGTACAGTATCTCGCAAGTGTCTGCTCTAGACCACACTTAAAAGTAGACTCTGGTTAATGTTTGCTATTCTGCTGCTTATATGCTCGGGCAACACCTCACCGTGTTGCCCGGGCAACGCCTCACCTCATTCATCTCCAAAGGTTGACAGGAATATTAACACTATATTTGGAGCGAGTATATTATTGGGATAATCTACTCGCTACAGACTTTTGCCACGGTAAACATATCCCATGGCCGTGTTCTCGTTTAGTGTACCAATCATTTTACTTTTGTACTGTGTCAACCTCTTGGTATGGTACACCACTGGTTATGTGGAGGGAGGGAGAGAGATGCTGAAGAAAAATGTAAGAATTGTGGAATCTGGGAAAGAGGCTGTGAGGGAGGGACTTGCCTAACAGTGTCTACGGGGAAGTGAGGTCTAGCTCTTCATGACCCACCTTCTACCATTCCTTTACCTCTGCATTACAATTTGTTTTGCCTTTACACATCTTTGCCTCAGATCTACAAGGTTTTGTTGAAGTTCTTGGCGTATTGTTGCTCTCAGACTGCTTATAGGCAATCCAAGGTTATACCATCTATCATCATGCCATCATGCTAGAGGAGCCACATAGCTATGGAAGCCATATAACCACATAGCATATCCAATAAAATCAGCAGACTTCTAGATGCTACTACTGCTCGGCTTAGACTCGGTTACAAGTATCTCTGGGAATTCTCATTATCTGCCGATGTAGACCTGACCAAATGTAAACTGTGTCAACAAAATTATTCGCAGACCCTCCGTCACTATGTGATGGAGTGCGAAAAGATACGTGAATTCGGAGACAATTCTATAACCAATGTTCCAACGATGTGTAAATATTTCATTCAAAATGATCTACTACCAGAAATTTTAGCCAAATATCCCCAGTTTGCAAACTGTAGGTAGTAACTAAGTGATTGTAACCTATCCACCGCTGCCCACTGGATGGTGGGCGGTGTGCAGGACAAACATATCAATTGTGACACTAGCTCTCCACATATGTCAGTTGCTTAATTTAGAAACTATACTTGTGGTTGGTCTCGAACCCATTGTTGATGTGTATTGAATTTTGTAACTAGCTCATCAAGATTGTAACTTGCTTAGCTAAATGAATTGTGGGGTTCAGTCCCTGAGCCCATTATGTGCCTCTGTAACTCTTTCCGCTACCGCCCACAAGATGGGTATGGGGTGCATAATAAATGAACCTAACTAACAATTCTTTGTCGAATCTGGATGTAAAGATGTGGATGAAGGTGGCTTCCACAATTTCAGTGCATTCCACCTGTATAGGGTACGAAAATTTCCTCACATTCCCCCGGATCATTTCCACTTCCATCTTCGACCCGTGTCCACTTTTCCTACTTCCTCTCAGTATCTTGTATATTGTGATCATATCCCATCTGTTTCTTCTATCTTCTTCAATCTTCTAGTTCCATTAGTCTGTTGTCATAACTGAACCGTCTTAGCTCTGGCATCAGTCGTGTTGCAAATCTTCTGTACTTTTTACATTTTTGGTTTTATGCTTTACAAGGTGCGGGTTCCAAGGCAGTGCTGCATATTCCTGTATTGGTCTAACGAACGTTGTGTAGTCCTGATTTACGTTTCTAAATAATATTCTTAACTTTTGAGGAAGTTACTGAATTTTCGGCGTATTTATTGACCTTTTGGCGTAGTTGCGTAGTTACTGAACGTTTGGCGTAGTTACTGAACGTTTGGCGTTGTCACTGAACGTTTGGCGTTGTCACTGAACGTTTGGTGTTGTCACTGAACGTTTGGCGTTGTCACTGAACGTTTGGCGTTGTCACTGAACGTTTGGCGTTGTCACTGATCGTTTGGCGTTGTCACGGAACTTTCGTTAGCAGCCATTTATTGTTAGGTGAACAGAGGCATTAGGAGACAGAAAACGTGCTCCCAACCATTTCTCTCCCGCCCGGGATTCGAACGGAACAAGTAAGAACCGTATTGTCTAAGAGCCAAAGGGATTGTTTTCTAAATCAAAACGGTAATAATAAAAAATTAAATAACCTGAGAAAATGTCTAAAAGTCATACCTTTACAGCCATGGTTAGTTACCACTGGCCTCAGCAGGTGACGACGCTGCACTGTGACCTTGATCTTACTAGCAGGGGGTTTATATAGGCGGGCGCAGCCATTTATCTCGTCGCGGGGGAGTACCTTGATGGATTAAAATGTGGTTGTATTAAGACTTCCACCACCACCACCACCCACAGGATGGGTGCGTGACTGTACTCCTTCCACCACCACCGCCCATTTTACTGTACGAAGACAAAAGCTGACAGCTACAATTTTAAATTATTATTTTGACCTTCACAGCTCGGGCAATATCAATAGACGAGGCACCAGCCTTGTTAGTTTCCAAGCTCCGCCCACCATATTTATTGGAAGAATTATGAAGTGATGCCATCTAGGGGCAGGATATAAAACTATCAAGAGCGCAACAGCAGGCCGTAAGACTTGTGCTGCGGGTCGCATTTCCCGCGCTCGCATTTTATTGGTAGAAATTCATGTGTTGACATTCAACAGTCAATCACAGGGAAAGAATCAGCTGATAGCTCCGCCCAATAAATGACGTCATCTCAAGTGTTTAGCACTGCCTGCTTTTTTATGTCGTTCTGTTTTAACTCGTGACTTTTCGCTACAATAATATTTTAGTATATGTTATAAGATTTAACAGTTGTTACTAAACGGTATTGCATCGTGTCTGGTACGGTACATACCCGCCCACTCATATTGCACTTAGTGTTAAATTTTGCCACTAGTCAACGTGTCAGGTAACATTGATGACGTCACAACCCATCAATTTATTGCAACTGATATATGTAATAATATTTCATTATTACTTACATTACATAATTTTTAATTAGAATTCGAAAAAATGCACATTTTTAATACATGTGGGATGAAACAGTGTTTTAAGAAAGGTATATGATATCAACACTAGAGTAAAGAGGGCGGAGCTTCTACCCGATCCTCTCCTGTGATTGGCTGTTGAGGTGAATATCACCGTGTGTTTGTACCAATGAAATGTGAGCGCGGGAATGCGACTTTCAGCTCAACATCCCGTCTTATGGGCTGCTGTTGGCCTGTTGATAGTGGTATATCTGGCCCCTAGATGGCAGCAGTAGGACTGTAGCCAGGGAGACTGTTGTCACGGCTGTAGCCGGGGGGGGGGAACTGTTGTCACGGCTGTAGCCGGGGGGGGGGACTGTTGTCACGGCTGTAGCCGGGGGGGGGGGACTGTTGTCACGGCTGTAGCCGGGGAGACTTGTCACGGCTGTAGCCGGGGGGGGGGGGGGCTTGTTGTCACGGCTGTAGCCGGGGAGACTGTTGTCACGGCTGTAGCCGGGGAGACTGTTGTCACGGCTGTAGCCGGGGAGACTGTTGTCACGGCTGTAGCCGGGGAGACTGTTGTCACGGCTGTGGCCGGGGAGACTGTTGTCACGGCTGTGGCCGGGGAGACTGTTGTCACGGATGTGGCCGGGGAGACTGTTGTCACGGCTGTGGCCGGGAGACTGTTGTCACGGCTGTAGCCGGGGGGGGGGAACTGTTGTCACGGCTGTAGCCGGGAGGACTGTTGTCACGGTTGTATCCGGGGAGACTGTTGTCACGGCTGTAGGCGGGGAGACTGTTGTCACGGCTGTAGCCAGGGAGATTGTTGTCACGGCTGTAGCCGGGGAGACTTGTCACGGCTGAAGCCGCGGAGACTGTTGTCACGGCTGTAGCCAGGAAGACTTGTCACGGCTGAAGCCGGGGAGACTGTTGTCACGGCTGAAGCCGCGGAGACTGTTGTCACGGCTGAAGCCAGGGAGACTGTTGTCACGGCTGTAGCCGGGGAGACTGTTGTCACGGCTGTAGCCGGGGAGACTGTTGTCACGGCTGTAGCAGGGGAGACTGCTGTCACGGCTGTAGCCGGGAGGACTGTTGTCACGGCTGTAGCCGGGGAGACTGTTGTCACGGCTGTAGGCGGGGAGACTGTTGTCACGGCTGTAGCCGGGGAGACTGTTGTCACGGCTGTAGCCGGGAGGACTGTTGTCACGGCTGTAGGCGGGGAGACTGTTGTCACGGCTGTAGCCAGGGAGATTGTTGTCACGGCTGTAGCCGGGGAGACTGTTGTCACGGCTGTAGCCAGGGAGATTGTTGTCACGGCTGTAGCCGGGGAGACTTGTCACGGCCTTCCCTTCCCTTATTTGCTGGGCTATATGGTAGTATTAATATTATTCCGTATCGTTACTGTCATTCCAGTATTATTTTATTAAAAATATAAATTGTTATTATGGTTTGGCATTGCTTTCTTAATTTCTTCCATTCTGCGGCACTTGCCGTCATCGGTTATTTACGATATTACATTGTATTCTTACATTGTACGATTATTTACGACATTGTATTCTTATTATTATCCTTATTACAGTTACTGGATGACAGTTCCCTGCCGTCGATTTCACTTTGCTCCTGTTCTAAAAGATGTAGCCGAAGTTCACGGCGTACTAGCTGCGGCTTGCAGACGCTCATTGACAACACAAGACTACACTCAGCGGCCACTTAAGGCAGACTCCTTGGCTTCTATCCAGCCCTATCACCCGTCTGGAGGCAGAGATGGGATGGAGACCAAGGGTAATGTTCCCCGCTCACATTCTACATCCGCTTAGGACACAAGCATGTTATAGATTTGGCTTTAAGAATTGGTTCTTATTCCATTTTATTGTTTATGTATATGTTGCTTAGTTGTTATACCCGTTCTTGGTATATGTATTGTTTATATTCAAGATTTATAGTGTTTCGTATTACCCCTGTTATAGTTGCTTTGTGCATCCTTGCTGTTCTCCTACTGGCTTTCTCCCACCTTTGCTCTTAGCAAAGGTACTTCCCCCTTCCGTTTGCCGGAAGATTCTTAGAATTGGTAGCCCCCTTTATTGCTACAGTATAATTATTCGGAAAACTCTTTAGTCATCCAGGATTGTTAATTAAGGAATCTCTTAATTCCTGCTGCCGGGCTCCCTCCCCCCGTTTTTCGTCTCCGTATTGATTCAGCTAGGGTTTCCCTCTCGTCTGTGCTCTTGCCTGTCACGATAACACTGCATGCCGCTTCTGCCCACCCTTACTGCCTTATATCTTTCAGCCCGGGGGAGGTGATCTACGCGACAAAAAATCGACGCACGCTCCGACTGGACCAGGTATCGCTTACATGGTCAGGAATCAACACTCTTCGGATCCTACAAGCGCTCCTGTCACCAGGCGAGATTTCGCCAGGATCCTACGCGCTGCCCTCTCGGCGCTAGGCTTGCCTCCAGATGACTACGCCCCGCACCCAGCTGTCTCGGGACGGGCTCGCCACATCAGAAATAATGGCAGTCGGCAGGTGGAAGAGTAGTGCTCTCACATCCTACGTCAGACGGGACGTTGTTGCTCTGCCACTTTGAGTGCCTCACGCGGCCAGCTGGCACTCGCCCTTCGGGGGGGGGGGGGGGGTCCGGCCGCTGGCCTGCGGTGGGGGTGCAGCGCCGGTCCCCAAGTGTCCCGCTGTCCACAGCTACTACTTTGCCCAGTCTAGGTGCTAGTAAGCCCTACTTGTAGTCACACCCCCTTCTCCTTATTCATTAGGTCTTTTACGGCCTCTTGGCCGGGTACATTACGTGTTATGTGGTCTCTCACTTATTGTTATTCTTTGTGTCCTGCCTGTTATATCCTAGTGTTATATAATTACTACACATCTGCACTCGGCCTTAATTCTAGTACCAGTTAACCTTTAGGTTTCTGCAGAATTAGTTTCCATGTCACTATAGGCTAAGGTCTCATACTTACTACGGGTGTACCTTTTAAGTTAAATCTAGTCCTCGGACTTGGAATTGTTACTGTTAATTCTTACTTTATATATTTACTCTATATATTTTAATATAAACGTTATATATTTACTTTATATATTTGAAACTTTATATATTTACATGTTCAATATTAAGATTAATATAATATAAACTTTGTTATAAGTCTATAATATAAACCGTGTTTAATATAAACTTTATATATTTACTTACTTTATATATTTGAAACTTTATATATTTACATGTTCTGCAGAATTTAATCTTCAATAAATTTAAAGCCCCATACTGCCAGTATCTTTCTCCCCCTGATCAGAAAATATGTAATAATATTTCATTATTACTTACATTACATAATTTTTAATTAGAATTCGAAAAAATGCACATTTTTAATACATGTGGGATGAAACAGTGTTTTAAGAAAGGTATATGATATCAACACTAGAGTAAAGAGGACGGAGCTTCTACCCGATCCTCTCCTGTGATTGGCTGTTGAGGTGAATGTCACCGTGTGTTTGTACCAATGAAATGTGAGCGCGGGAATGCGACTTTCAGCTCAACACCCCGTCTTATGGGCTGCTGTTGGCCTGTTGATAGTGCTATATCTGGCCACTAGATGGCAGCAGTAGGACTGTAGCCAGGGAGACTGTTGTCACGGCTGTAGCCGGGGAGACTGTTGTCTCCCCGACTATAGCCAGAGAGACTGCAACTGGCGTACCCGGTACCTTAACCACTCAACCAACCGTGACCGTACAAAAGACATTGGCTGCCAAGGCCAACGTCTTTTCGTCTGGGGTTCGTGCCCCAACGTCCCGATGAAATAATTATGCCCAAGCTTACCACCAAGTGCTGTCGAGACGGGGATATAGCCTCGACTACCAATGTCTTTTGTACAGTCACGGTTGGTCGAGTGGATAAGGTACTGGGTACGCCAGTTGCATAGTGGTCCTGGCTGTCTGGGTTCGAATCCTTCTGGAGTGTGGAGTTTTATATATATATATATATATATATATATATATATATATATATATATATATATATATATATATATATATATATATATATATATATATATGTCGTACCTAATAGCCAGAACGCACTTTTCATCCTACTATTCAAGGCCCGATTTGCCTAATAAGCCAAGTTTTCCTGAATTAATATATTTTTTCTAATTTTTTTCTTATGAAATGATAAAGCTACCCATTTCATTATGTATGAGGTCAATTTTTTTTTATTGGAGTTAAAATTAACGTAGATATATGACCGAACCTAACCATCCCTACCTAACCTAACCTAACCTATCTTTATAGGTTAGGTTAGGTTAGGTAGCCGAAAAAGTTAGGTTAGGTTAGGTTAGGTAGGTTAGGTAGCCGAAAAAACATTAATTCATGAAAACTTGGCTTATTAGGCAAATCTGGCCTTGCATAGTAGGCTGAGAAGTGCGTTCTGGCTACTAGGTACGACATATATATATATATATATATATATATATATGTCGTACCTAGTAGCCAGAACTCACTTCTCAGCCTACTATTCAAGGCCCGATTTGCCTAATAAGCCAAGTTTTCCTGAATTAATATATTTACTATAAATTTTTTCTTATGAAATGATAAAGCAACCCTTTTCTCTATGTATGAGGTCAATTTTTTTTTATTAGAGTTAAAATTAACGTAGATATATGACCGAACCTAACCAACCCTACCTAACCTAACCTAACCTATATTTATAGGTAAGGTTAGGTTAGGTAGCCAAAAAAAGCTAGGTTAGGTTAGGTTAGGTAGGTTAGGTAGACGAAAAAACATTAATTCATGAAAACTTGGCTTATTAGGCAAATCGGGCCTTGAATAGTAGGCTGAGAAGTGCGTTCTGGCTATTAGGTACGACATATATATATATATATATATATATATATATATATATGTCGTACCTAGTAGCCAGAACTCACTTCTCAGCCTACTATGCAAAGCCAAATTTGCCTAGTAAGCCAAGTTTTCATGAATTAATTGTTTTTCGACTACCTAACCTACCTAACCTAACCTAACCTAACTTTTTCGGCTACCTAACCAAACCTAACCTATAAAGATAGGTTAGGTTAGGTTAGGTAGGGTTGGTTAGGTTCGGTCATATATCTACGTTAATTTTAACTCCAATAAAAAAAAATTGACCTCATACATAATGAAATGGGTAGCTTTATCATTTCATAAGAAAAAAATTAGAAAAAATATATTAATTCAGGAAAACTTGGCTTATTAGGCAAATCGGGCCTTGAATAGTAGGCCAAAAAGTGAGTTCTGGCTACTAGGTACGACATATATATATATATATATATATATATATATATATATATATATATATATATAACCTATAAATAAAAATGAAGGATAGGGAAGGTGGTGAAGGGCAGGGAAGGTATTGAAGGGCAGGGAAGTTGAAGGGGAGGGAAGGTGGTGAAGGATAGAGAAATTGGTGAAGGGTAGGGAAGGTGGTAAAGGGCAGGGAAAGCAGTGAAGGGTAGGAAAGTTATTGAAAGGCAGGGAAGGTGGTGAAGGGCAGGGAAGGTGGTGAATGATAGGGAAGGTGGTGAATGGTAGGGAAGGTGGTGAAGGGTAGGGAAGGTGGTGAAGGGCAGGGAAGGTGGTGAAGGGCAGGGAAGTTGGTGAATGGTAGGGAAGTTGATGAAGAGCAGGGAAGTTAGTGAAGGGTAGAGAAGTTGGTGAAGGGCAGGTTAAGTAGTGAAGGGCAAGGAAAGTGGTGAAGGGTAGAGAAGCTGGTGAAGGGTAGGGTAAGCAGACCCTCCCACCCCCTCAAGTCACATATAATCTCGTAATACAGTTGGTTTTATATCTCAATTCATAATCAAGGATGCTGGGTTCGATCCCGGGCAGGAAAAAAATGGTTGGACACATTCTATTCTAGATCCTTGTCCTCATATTCCCTTCCAGATGCTATATTGTCATACTGGTTTAGCGTTTTCTCATAATTATCTTAGCTAATGCCTCTGTTCACCTAGCAGTAAATTGCCACCTGGGATCTAGAAAAGTGTTGTTGCATTCTGGAGATGGTCAGTAGCTCTGCCTTGCAGGAAGGGAGCCCTCAAAACAAGATTAAAGTGTAAAATATTGATATATAATACAATCTTCCTGTCCCTGACAAAACGATGATTAATACAGAACAGTACTGTGAAAAGCTTTTTCATTCCAAAAGAGAAAATGTTTTTAAAGTTTAATATTTGAGGAAAAATCGGTATTTAGACAACTCTGGATGTTAAGTAAAACAGGCTTTCACCATATTGTTCGAAGTGCATTGCCTTAGCAGTGCATCTCCTCATAGAATGTCCTGATTTTCAGAATGATCGTAAAGCTCACATTCCAAACATGCCTTTAAGTCACGAGTCCCTCGGTCAAATTCTTGGTGGTTCTGATACACCTTTGACATCGTTCATCGTAAAATAATAAGACCTGTACAGTATGTCTACTAAATTGTATAAAGTGGTTACATAGTAGGTAAAGTAACTTTATTATATAATGCCACTAGTCATACACAGCATTTCGGGAATGTATTTCTGTTCTCGTAATGGCTTCCTGGATGATATTGTATTTAGGAACTTTTGACTCCTGCAAAACAGGTAGTGCTAACTAGTCTTCCTGGCTTGTTGCCTTGTTTTGATAATGACTTAGGTCTTGGTATCATACTAGTTTCACTCCTATAATCTCATTCACCACAAAAAATTATAGTACTTATGGCAACTTTACACACAACTCACAATTTATGTTTGAACGTTTCTTCACTAACATCTTATTTTTGAATCACACATTTTAATGCTTTACATAAATATAAATAATTGCCAACAAATCATATACGTACTGTACACCTATACGGTACTGTACTTATACTGTGCACAGGGATGCCTACTACTACTACGCCTAACAACCTAATTTAGGCCTATAGTAAATAATGTTAATTTATACAATAAAATGCAGATTTTTAATACAAAGTACGTTAAAATTTATGATTGTGCCTGGGATTCGCTGGCACATAGATGAGCCTAACTTAAGGACACCGGTTGTTGTACTAGCATTTGTCAAGGCCTGATGTGAGAAGCTCAAGTTAATTCTCTTTTTTATGCTTATAAGTCATGGGTTCATGGGCTGGTAAAACCAACTTACACTTTGGTATGCATTTTGGTTAAGTAGAAAATAAGCATGATTATCATGGAAAATATATTTTATTGTCCATTACACAATCATAACTTGTAAATATTCGTATGTCAGGCACTGTCAATAAGAACAGCATATCTTTTGACATAAATTGTAACAAAATGTCAAATGTTATTAGCTACATTCAGTACAATGTTACCAAAAAGATCTCAGGAGGTATGTGATCTCCAGCAATACTAACTATATAACACAAAAGAGGAAGTACAAGTCACCCACCAACCTCCCATCACAGGCGCTGCCCTCAAAAACTTGCTTTTCTCACAAATGATGAATATGCCACTTGGCCTGCAGAAAATCAGGACCCAAAATGGAAATCAAAGTTAAATGTTTACCTGTCTTTTGTATTTAAAGTTCTTTGTTTCATTGAAAAACAAAAATATGCAAAACATTCTTTTTAATACACTTAATTCCTATAGCATGAACACTGTTCCCTAATATAATTGAAAATATCTTGTTCCAGTTATAAGAAAATTTATTTTAATGTGTTCATAAATGTAAGCTTTCTGTTAGTTTTTAAACATTCTGAATATAAAGACAAAGGAAAGTTTGTTTTTTGGAGGAATAGGTGGGGTAAGCAGTAGAAGAGGAGCCTTACCCCAGGGAAGAAAAGGAGGGAGGGATGGGAAAGGAGGGGAATGGGAGGGGCAGGTTGGAAAGGCGAGGGAGTGAGAGAGAAAGGGAGAGGAAGGAGGGAAAAAGGAATGGGGGGGGGGGAGGAGGGTAAGAATATGGGGGGCAGGGAGGGGAAAAGGAAGTGGAGGAGGGTTAAAGAAAGAGGAGGTAAAAAGAAAGGTAGGAGAGAGGGAAAGAGGAAGGTGGGAGGGAAAGAGGGAGGGTTACAGAAAACGGGAGAGGGAGGGAAGGAGGGATTCGAATGGAAAGGTGGTGGTTAGCAAAAGATGGGCAGAGAGAGGGTTATCTAATCCACACATAGTGTCAGCAAGACAGACAACCCACCTGCAATAACTCGCTTTGTATTTGCTATTTATAAACTTCCCTTCACCTGTGCCTCTCCATCCTATTTACCCCCCCCCCCTCCAAAAAAAAGGGGGGGAGGGTTATGGTCAGAGGAAGAGGTGGTGAGAGAAAGGGGGCATTAGGGAAAAAAAAGAGAGGGAAGGGCAGAGGGTAAGAGGGAGAAAGGTAAGGGGAACTTCTCTTTACCCCTCACACCATGCTCTTCACTCCATTCTCTTCCACCTGCTCTCCTTCCCCTCAGGCAGAGAGGGAGAGAAGAGGAGGAGAAAAGGGGGGAGGGGAACAGACAGATAAGTGTAGAAAAAGATTGGCAGAATGATAGACAATTGGATGGATTTACAGTTCAGTGGGTGTGGATATACTGTATAGGCAAAGAAGAGGTGATATGAAGTACAATGTCTTTAATGAGATAATGGAATATTAATAAGGTATTAGTGAGATAAATGTGTATCAATGATCCTACTCAAATTGCCCTTTAACTGATCAGTCAAAAATGGATCTAAATTATCTAAACCGCCTGCTAATGTTCAAATTGCATGATTTTGTAATTCGTATTAAAGCAAGATCAATAATGTTCCTGTTGAAAATGGTTTTATAATTCGTTATTGAAGCAGCCCTCTCCCAATCAATTTGGTGACAAATTAAAGGATCATTTAGTAGGATTATTGATACACATTTATCTCACTAATACCTTATTAATATCCCATTAAAGACATTGTACCTCACCTCACCTTTTTCCTGCCTATATATCCACACCACAGAACTGTAAATCCATCCTTCTGAAGATGTATTATTAAATTCGAAAGTACTAAAGGAAATTCCTGTCTTAATTCTTCCTTTGTGGTCTGATACTGTCTATGTTTTATATTATATATATATATATATATATATATATATATATATATATATATATATATATATATATATATATATATATATATATATATATATATATTAGTGTGTGTGTGTCAGTATCTGTGTGTGTTTGTAGGGTAGTGGCCAAGGAGAGGAGAAAAAAAAAAAGTTAAAATTAAAGGAAGCACCTGTTTAGGACAAGCCTTTCTTACATATGTCACTTGGCAAAAAGTGTGTTCAGATCCTGCAGCTCTCTGCTCTGTGAAACATGACAGCGATTTCCTTAACATTCTTGTCAGCTTCTTCCCTTCACACACGTCTGTGTGCACATGCAGTCATTCTTACTTTAAATTCATTCTATTTATGTAATTTTGAAAATGTAGTCATGAACAAAATATTTCACTCTTTACCCTAAAACACTAAGAGAAATGAGACACATAAAAGATGTGCATTTAATTCTTTTATCAAATCAGTCTAAAAACTAATATTAATGTCTCATTTTGATGCATGTACCAATATGCACATGGGAAGTGTGGAAAAATAATAATAATAATAATAATATTACATAAAGTGGGAACTCAGCCTAACAAAGACTATACGGCCACTTAGAGTTTGTGGACATGTGTTTGTGTTCCTACCAAAATATGTTTGAAAAAAGTGGGGTCCAGCTCTTGGTCCTCACCTCTTAACCATCGGATATCTAGTACAACTGCTACTCCTGACCTTTGTTGTGCGTTGAGTATGTGTGGGTATATATATTACATAGATGTGCCTGTAAGTCTGAGTGGTAGCTCCTGAGCCCAGCATTTATAGTTAGAGTTAATAGTAATTTAATTCAATAATGATTCTTCCCACATGTTCTCTTCATTTAAACCTGCATGTTAAGCTTCAAACAATTCTTTTTTTCTGACCCATTCTATATATATATATATATATATATATATATATATATATATATATATATATATATATATATATATATATATATATATATATATATATATATATATATATATATATATATATATATATATATATATATATATATATATATATATATATATATATATATATATATATATATATATAATATATATGTTGTACCTAGTAGCCAGAATGCAGTACTCGGCCTACTATGCAAGGCCCGATTTGCCTAATAAGCCAAGTTTTCCTGAATTTATATATTTTTCAAATTTTGTTTTTATGAAATCATAAAGTTATCCATTTCATTGAGTATGAGTTAAGTTCTTTTAATTTGAGTTGAAACTAACTTAGATATTCGACTGAACCTAACCAACCCTACCTAACCTAACCTATTTTAATCTAACCTAAACTAACATAACTAAGTCAATAATTTATGTTCTTAACGTAATATAATAATAATATTTCAAAACCACGAATTGGAAACAATATTTTGAAGATAGAAAAAATTACTCGGCCTATTACGCAAATCAAGCCTTGCATAGTAGGCTGAGACGTGCATTCTGGTTACTAGGTATGACATACATACATATATATTATATACATATATATATATATATATATATATATATATATATATATATATATATATATGTTTTTGTGTTTTGAGTATGTAGAGATACACATACAATAGTGTATGTTTCAGAATATAAATGACTCAGAGTTTCACACTATTACACAAAAAATGTGAATATAAATACTGTAACTACCATGTTTGCAAAAAATGTGGAAGGATGAAGACTTGGCATTCCAAGCACAGAATACCACAAAGCATCTTATTTTCTACCTCAACATTAACAGTGCTTCCTCAAAATTAGATGAATAATTATTGTAAGCAAAACCCTAAATTCCTCATGTGTTAATCATTAAACACCATTAAAATACAATACACAAAATATTTTTGTCAAATACCCTATTAAACAACCACAATTTAAATAATATTTATTACAACTTAATTAAAGGTCTTGTACACACACCCCTTCAGAGAGGTGTGAAAACCTTCAGTATACTATTGATGACGCGAAACTAAAATATTCTCACAAGCGACATTTCTTTCAAGTTGGCCTATCAACGATAAAGGTAATATGTACAATTTAGCTTGAAAAATCTTGTGCTTTGGCAATCTCGACTCTCACATTCTGTCTACACTTTAAGCTTAAACATACAGCCAACTAAAATAAAATGATATGCATGGTTATTTCATTGATATAACAGTATTCTCAAATCAAGATTTTGTATTGTCTGCAACAAAGCTCAATATTGCTTTGTTGAAGCAACAATTGACTCATGAATTATCATCTTGAGAAATGCACAACAACTGTCTTATAAATAAAAGTGAAAATTTTTATGTTCTAAAATACTTGGAAACCCCTCTTTATTAACATCCACAAAAATTACCAGTTT